TTGCGACTTCATGTTGTTAGATATAGTTTACCCTGCAGATTGGTCGAAGATCAAAGGCGATGGAAAACAGATAGCCCGCAAGGTGAATTGAGAGCCTGCATCGATGACTAATAAATTTGAATATCTGCGTCTCAAATCGTGACGCGAAATTCTCATTGGTCAGATGCTATAATTTATGTTTCCGCTGAGCTCTATATATGTCAACTGCTGAACCACTATGCACTAAAAACACATTAACTGGTCAAATTGGTCTTGGCCATCTTATCTCAAAGCACGAAATGTTCTGTTTTGGAAGAACAGTATTTAAAACATTTAAACTTTTGCTTGAATATCTTATATTTCGAAAAACAGTGTAAACTGTACGGTCTAAATTTAGATTGCACGCTCTAAATTTAGTTTGCACGAAAGTTGTAAACAACACCATATATAGATAGATAGATTGTTTAATACTGATTCACTTTTTGCAGTACAATTACTGAATTGGTAAGCGATTACAATATAAATAAGACAGAATACAAATTATATTACATTTAAAAAAATTACAACCTATGCTATGGCTTACTAAGAAGATTATAATATTAAAACTTACACTAATTTGTTGAATTACAACTATTTATGTCTAAACAACTAGCTATGACATACGAATTCTTAAAACGTTCAGTATAGAATTTCGGAACATGTATCTTCTTGTTGTTACGTAATTGGTAATTACCTCCGCAAGGAGGTTATGTAATCATCTGGGTTTGTATGTGTGTATGTGTATGTATGTGTGTATGCGTGTGTGCATGTGTGTATGTGTGTACGATGTGTGTATGTGTGTTTGTCTGTGAGCACGATTAATCAAGAAATACCAAACATATTCATACGAAATTTTTTGAATGCATTTCCCATTGGCTAAGGAAGAACTGATTAAAATTTGGTTGAATTTGGTTAAAAATTGAACGAGAAATGAACAACATTTTGTCTTGCTTTTTCCGGTCAATTAAAAAAAAATATTACTGCATGAATGCGTAATTAGGACGTGTATAATTTATGCACGCAGTACTAAGACAATAATGAGATGATAAACCTCATTAAGCTTCAGCCTTCATTATCTATTGTCTTAGTTGCATTTTACGAGACCGAAATTCAATGTCTAAAACTGACAAGGCTTACGGAGTTACGCATTATTGCGTTCAGCAAAGTGCCAGTCCATTCAAATTCTAATAACATTAGATTACTTCAATACAGGGTGTATAAAAAAAACGCAACATCGGAATTTCCCAAGAAATCGACATTGTTTTAAAGACAAAAGGTTTTAGCTCCCTGGGAATTTAAAATAGCACAACTGTCAAAATTACTGCACACGCGAGTGCATAAAGCAAAATTTATGCATTTATTTAATGACACTTAATAAGTTTTCATTTTACAAGTACTGTACAGTACAACAACAGTAATATGATCTATTAGTTATTCGATTTCAATTCGCGGGAGCCTAAAATCTTTTATGCTTAAGAGTTGCAAAGTGGATTTCTTAGGAAATTCCAAGGTTTCGTTTCACTTCCGAGTAGCGGGTGGAGGTATGCAGTCTCTGAGTGCCCTCTAGTTTAATGAAGTATCTATCTTAGGGATTAAATTATGAAGTTTATGGTTCGGGTTATTTAAAATTTGATTAAAAAGTTTATTGCAGGCAATTTGCCTTCTAGCGTACAATGACTCCATCCCAGCTTCCATCAATGCATCTTCGTAACGTAAGTTCGGATATACAATTCGAAGAGCCCGTTTTTGTACACGTTCAATTTCATCACTCAATTATTTAGGTGAAGAGTAGTGGAAAACGGTGGAAGCGTATTCCAGAATGGGGCGGATACGTACGGTATAGAATTGTAAAATATCATGAATTGCGACTTTTGCTCGTTTCAGCTGCACTAAAAGGTAAATCCTTTTGGAACTTTTGCCACTATGTTATTGACATGACTATTCCACTTCAAATTGTTCGCGATAGTAAGACCCAGTAATTTTACTTCTTCCACCACTTGTAAAGGTTTACCATTAATTTTAATAGGGGGAAAGGGATTTCTATTTTTCGCAAAGTCTATCCGCAATTCTTTGCATTTGTTTTCATTCAACTTGAAAAGGTTGGACTCGGACCACTCTTCAATTTCGGACACCGCATGTTGGATATCACTTGAATCAAATCTGGTTACTGTTTCATATACGGTTAAATCGTCTACGAATTTTACCTCGTCTAAACAGCGCGTTTTAAGATCGTTTATCATCAATATAAATAACCACGGGCCCGTGTTTATGTAAGGATAGACATTCCATATTTGGAAAAACGAACGTTACGGGGCAGATATTCAAATTCATTAGTCATCGATGCAGGCTCTCAATTCACCTTGAGAGCCTGCGCGCACGCTAGAAAACAGATGATGATGGACAACTTTTGAAGTCAGAGCCGATGAAAGTTTTGCCTAAAACATTTTCAGAGGTATAGCCAGGTTGGGGGCCGAGTGGCCAGCTATTTGGCGCTCCCTGAGAAAACTTATTCTATAACTAGAAATACATGCATGCAATAACCCCTCGCCAATATTTTCCAAACATTAAATTAACATGAAGTATTCAGAAATGGCCGACACTGAACGCAGGCTCGCGCTCAAATGTTGCCATGACAACACGATATCTTAAATTTTTAAAAATTTTCATATTTTTGTACAAAACTGCAAAATAGTCGAAAGATACTTTAATAGTCGAAAGATACTTTTAACTATACAACAATAAATTTCCGAAATATACACTGTAGGTATATTATTTTGCATTTTGTGAGCTTTGATTTAATGTAAAATTTAACTTGAAACGCTTCGTGAAATTTTTGAAATGTTCATTCAACTAAACTACATTTGCCGATAAACTGTTTTTAACACACACAAACTTCTTCTACTTTATTAAATAATTTTTTTTCAAAATAATTTACAAGAAACCACCTACATTTAGCAAGTTATTCGAAGTAGGTGGCTTTCAATTGATTGATAAATAGTGTAATTCAAATCGGAAGGAAATATTGAAAACAAAGACAAAATTGTCAAATTACATTTAATCCCCGGAACTGTTTGCAATATTTTGGCGAGATCAACGTAATCATCACAAGCCATCAAAACAAATTGTTAGGTACAACCAACAAAAATTGTTAGGTGCAGCCAACAAAACAAATTGTTAGGTAATTTTAGTTCAGTCTTCAAATCAATTTGTTCAAATTAAACGGTAATTTATGAAACTTAGAGGTTCGTTGAAAAGGAAAACAGTTCATGTTTTTAGGCAAAAAGTTAAAGCAACAAAATTGAAAGGAAACTTGCCGTATATTTCACGATTTCCCATAGTAAATCAATTCTTCTCATTTCTTCAAACAAAATTGCTTCAAGCTTGTTGTTTATGAAACGATTTTCCAAATTCTTTTCTTTTAAAATTGAAATCTTGCTTATCCCACTCCCATGCACAAGCAATCAGCCACATTTTTTAGATCAGTGAGGATTACCACCCACTCAAGTTCGTTGGTCCCGCCCGCCATATTTGATGAACTTTAGACTCCGCTAATGCTTTCGTTTCCCCGGGTGTAAATAGCCGGGGGGAATTAGTACCCTCGCACGGCGCTTCGCGCCGTCGGCTCGGGGAAAAGAAGTGAAACATGGCCCCACCTAGGTTTTTGCTGCCTCCCTCAAGACCAAAAATCTTGGCTACGCTTCTGGAGATTTTGGAGAGCAGTAATGTTTTGATAAAATCTGAGTCTGGTATTCTGTTGGTCTTGTTCCGATTTGGGTCTTAATGCTGTTGGATAGCATATTCAAATTTACTTGAGTAACAATGGACCACTCGGAAACTCCCTTTCTCTTGGTATGCACGCGTCGTATGCGCAAGCTATTATAATTAAATTGCAAACGTCACACATTTTTATAAACTGAGAATGATAATTAATTGCACAAATTAATTGGACTTCGTGATAAAGGCGTGCAGCAACGTAACATGAGTGTTTGGAGACGAAGTTGGTTGATACAAAAACCGAGCTAGTGTGTAATGAAGTTCCAGTCAGCGTAGAGTAAACTCTGTTCTTTCTTACTAATGGATTAGACGCAAAGAAAATAATAAACAACGAACCTGGACTAATAAAATTGACAGGAAAAGATTTAGAAAATAAATAAGATTGTGAACACCGAGTAATACTTAGTTATTGTACATCGTAATTTCTTTATTCGATCTTGAAAGATAATTATGATATTTTACTGATACTCAACACGGTACATTGCTCAGAATGCAAAACATAAAAATATCATATATTTTTAAAACATTTCGATGTCATCTTGTTTTACTTCAGCCCTGCTTCCGCACATGGGCTCTTCGCGTGCGCATTAAATGTTTCGTGGTCAAGCGCATGCGTATTTGCAGCACAACAATGGCGGTTCATGGGTTTAAGTACGAGGAAGCCTGAACTATGGAGACGTTGTACTTTAATTTGTGCAACTATTTCGCTTGGGGGGAAGTAGATTCTAACTAAGTATGTTCTAATCTATCGATACATGTAAAAATTATGTAGTTACACGAGGGGTGCTACGGAATCTGTTTTCTAAGCATATTTTCGACCCGCATCTCACGGCCTAATTCGACCGTTTGGATGTAAAAACTACCATATTTGAAAACGCAGAATATACCATTTCAGCAACTTTATGAAGTGATATTCTACATGATTAGTTGCTATTTCTGGAGTGTATATACTATCCGAAAAATATAAGTGACCAAACTGTAGTTTTATTATAACCGGCTGTTCCTAGCGGAAAAGGAAACTTAGTTCATAGGTGGATAGACTACATTTTACAAATTATTAAACCTTTTAATTAAACTTTGAGCCCAGCTAAAGTTTTTCTACCCTCCGTCGCAACCAACCAAACAAACGAACAATTTCCTTGTACGTTACATTAATTAATATTAAATTCGCAATAAGCTATTTTATTAGGTTTAACATTCTATTCTAGCTGAGGTGTCGGTACCTGAATATTGGGAACCTCAACCCCGCGATAGTAATGGAAAAGAACTGGTATCACACTTAGTTTGCCTTGACCCCAATAAACCAAACCACAAAGAAGAATACAAGAAGATCAGCGATCATTTTCTGCAGACAGCTAATCAAAAAATTCTGCAGATTGAAAGAGTCCAGAATCCATCGTTGTTCAAACAATACATTATAAAGAAACAAAGTTTAGATGAAAAGAATGGCAGTAACGAAAAGATCTTGTTTCACGGTACAAAAGGTGACAAGATAAAGGAAATTAATGAAAGTGGTCTCAACAGAAATTATGCTGGGATTAATGGTAAGATGCAAAAGGATTTGCAAAACAATTTTTGTTTCATTCGTTCGATCAAGCGCGATCTATAGTTATTGCTTCCCCTTTGGTAGTTTATTTCCCGCGCAAAAAGCAATATTAATATTCATAACCTATATCCCAGATTGTCAGATTGACATAAATATATAGCAAAACATTCCTCCGGAGAATTAGGCCCCATTTACATGAGACAGAGACGATTTCAGACGGGAATTAAAATTTAAATTGTCAACATGTTTACATGAGACCGGTACGAAAATCATAAAATTCTCAATTTATCCTCTTTGCCATGCAATTTTCTTCTTTAGATAGCTTTTTTAGCATGTGTTGTTCCATTTGTGTTTACATTCATCCCGGTCAGAATTCATGGTCGGTCTGAAGTCAGTCAGCTCGGTCCAGCAGGCTGAATGACTGGAGATCGTTCTGAGCTATTTTCGTCCCGGTATCATGCAAACATCTAGGCTATTATAAATAATACTATATGACCGAAACGAAATGTTCAAGGTAAGGGTTTGACTTCGCTCCGGTCTCATGCATATAAACGGGGCTTCGTCCTAGGTAGAAGACCATATGGGACAAACAACTAGTACGTACGTTATTTCTAGATAAGAGACTGCACTAGTATTTTTAAAGAGGTATGTATTTTCCCAGGTTAAACATTGACATATGCAAACGCTATTGCAGCAACACTAAACACTACGACAGCATTTAAAAAGAAAAGGTGTTTGAAAACTCTGCTTTACCGACGATTACTGACAGAAATGTAGAACACACTCGTCTAAACGAAACTGAAAGTTACTTAGGCAGACGATCAAAGTCGTTGGGCCGGCCTCTCGAGCTCTTGATTGAATAGCTCCATCAGTGCTAAAGTATTCGTATAGTTACTTATACTGGAGAAACTCATAATATCTATAGCTAAAAGCTATTGTCCCAACTGCAACTAAAGCATTAATAGTATATTAAAAAATTGCATATTTGCAATTCATATATATGTATAGGAAGAATCGAAACCTATAGTTGCAGAGGTAACGTTAAAATAAATAATACTGCATATTTTGTAGCAATTGCCTCTCACGTATAGAGAAATCACCTCCTATACCTACAATCCTGGACAAAACCATCTGCGACACTCTATTAAAACATTCCTTTGCGGCTTTTTTTACCAGTTAGATTGGAATAATTTACTCTTTTGGCCCCCTTCACCCCCCAAAACAATGTTTTATCAGTATTATACGAATGCAATCAACATTGAATGGTGGGGGAAAGGGGGAGGTTTTCTAAATTTACGATAATATTACGACATTTTGTCAAGTAATTGGAAGTGTCGCATATGTTTTGTCCAGGATTGTAGCTGATATAAATCAGCGGCTGACTTATAATTTTTATATCAAAACTATCCACTGGCACTTATTCACGCATACTGTACATCACTCCATACAGGTATATCTTTGATATATAAACCACTGTGCTACAATACGATCAACCTCAGTTGTTATACACTCTAGTGTACACGATTTCACACCACCACTCAATAGTCACGTACACTCGTTCATGCTCGCCATTTTAAAATGATATTATACGAGAGCACGTGTATTAATGCACGTGTATTTATGTTGCAGGGGGGGGGGGATATAATAACAAGTGTTTGAAATGTAACAGTAATTTGGTTATAACTTCTCTAAATGTTGGGAAAAATAAGTAAGAATATGTACCATCCGCTCCTCCCTGATTGTTTACTCTATAGATCGATCCATCGATTGATCCATTGCATGTGATCGGTCACTGGATTGAATTTTTCTCATAACAACAGTGCAAAGCAACTTTGCACTAAAAATGATTCTACAATCCTGGACAAAACATCTGCGACACTTCCAATTACTTGACAAAATGTCGTAATATTATCGTAAATTTAGAAAACGGGAGGCCTTTCCCCCACCATTCAAAGTTGATTGCATTCGTAGAATACTGATAAAACGTCCAACATTGTTTTGGGGGGTGGAGGGGGGGGGGGGGGTGGCAAACGAGTAAATTATTCCGATCTCAAGCCACGTGTACAAAGGAATGTTTTAATAAAGTGTCGCAGATGTTTTTTTTCCAGGATTGTATACATGTCCTTGCCATGTATTTCTTTATGCGCATTGCTTCTGACCTACTTATGTTCATAATTACATCAAGTACCTTATTTCATTAATTAAATACGTCATGAAAACTTTTTGCCGAGAAAATCGCATACAATATATATTATTTTTTAGCAATTAAAAGCAAACGAAATGCTGCGGAAATAATTGAGAAAATAAAACTATCACGTTCTTGTTGATATCATTGCAATAATTCGGAAATTAAGAAATATATATGAGTCATATTTGTTATCTGTATGTATATAACTAGAAATACATGCATGCAATAACCCCTCGCCTGTTTTCAAAAGATGTATACTCAGTGCCGTTGCGAGCACTTCGTCTCAGGGTGTGTGTGAGGTTAGATAGAGGGGGGTAGGGGGGTGACCAAAATGTTTCCAGATATACAAAA